TTTTTTTTTTTTATGTCAGTCAGGCAATGTTTTTAATCTTTTAAATCTAATAAAAATTGGTGGAAGTTATCTTTGGCTAAATGATTTTTGGTAAATACATGTATGATATGTAATTAAAATACTGTACTTGATTCATTAAAGTGTTTCTCTAGGTATGAGATTTACCTTGTTAATTTTTAAAAGCAGTTTTTCAATCAACAGCGTATTGATATTTTTAGCCAGCCGGTATCTATACTAGTAAGGGCATCCTTTTTCGGCAAGAGGAGGTTTGATTTCACAACCTCATGCAGAATCTGTATCAAAACTAATAATCTTCTTCCTCATGGAAGATGACTACGTGACTGCATGCAGCTATATGGGTTGCACAGATCCTCCAATATTAGCTTTTTATCACTACTGCCTGACAGTGAAGATACTTAGTGCAGTCTGCCTTTTAGTGTGTGATAGTGAGAGGCATGTGAAGTGTATTGATCAACCTATTATCTTCACATTTCCAGGCAAGGATCATGTATGCAAGTTTAGCGGCTGTGGACGCAATGATCGGTTTAACTACGTGGTCATGTCCCTGCAGGGCAAGAACTTGGCCGAATTAAGGCGGGGCCAGCCCCGGGGGTGCTTCTCGCTCAGCACCACCCTCAGGCTGGGGGCTCAGATATTGAGGGCGGTGGAAAACATTCACGATGTGGGCTTCCTTCACAGAGATGTCAAGCCAGTAAGTGCTGTGTGACAGTGCCCTAAGTGGGTTATTGTGGTAATAATTTCCCAGAGCAATCGATTGCTTAGAACTGAAGTCGCATTTAATGTACTCCATTTAGTACTTTCTCAGTTCAGGCATGCCTTTCATTTCTGCTCAAATGAATTCAGTTTATATAAGATTATTTAAACTAGTGCATAATTCTTAAGTTGATAAGAATTTTTAAGGACTTTACTTTAATAACTTGTTAGGTTAAATTAGTATATTTTTTAACTGAACACCAGGATTTACATAGCATGGTTTCAATAAATATAAAGAGACTCTAAGTGGTCTAACACTGTAAGGTTATGAAAAATTCATGTTCCATCAGTGACCAGTTTTAAAGATCCACAATTAGTAGTGCATTGGCTTTGACTGAATCGTACTGGGTGGTGAGAAATCCTGTATTGGAATGTGCATTAAGTCTGACTGAATCACTCTGTGCCACTGGGAGCTTGCATAGGCTTCTGGACAATGAAGTTAAAATGTTAACAGGCAACAGATGCTCCTTTTAGTACATGTTGATAGAATGAAGTGTGTTATGCTACAAGACCATGGCTACTGGGATGGTTCCTATTATTATTATTATTATTATTATTATTATTATTATTATTATAGTACCCATTTAAATATACTTTGTAGGGCAACATATAGGAGTCATTAAGCAGTGGTTATTATGATGTATAAGTTATACATCATTAAAATTCCATGTGTTTGTGTGAATTGGTTTAATTATTAGTATTTTAAACTTATTATTATCATTAAACTTTTGTGCAGTTCTTCTGCATGTGTTTATGCTAGAGATAGATTCTAGCTAATATTTCAATTTTTACATAATTTTTTTTTTTCAATTCCAGTCTAATTTTGCCATGGGTCGTACTACTTCCACGTGTAAGAAGGTCTACATGTTGGACTTTGGTCTTGCTCGGCAGTATACGAATTCTGCTGGAGAAGTACGGAGTCCAAGAGCAGCTGCCGGTTTTAGAGGCACTGTTAGATATGCTTCCATCAATGCTCATAAAAACAAGGTAAAAAAACATAGGGTTAGAATTTTAGATTGGAAGACATGGAAATTTGTCACTGCAATGACTTACCTTTACTAGAAGATCAGAAAAAAAATGATGAAAAGTAATTTATTTGTTTGACAAGTTTATTTATTTATATTTCATCATATTTAGATTTAATATTTATAATTACTTTTCATATCTTATCTAAATGCGTATTATCTTTCTCCTTGATTAGTGTGCAGTATTTGGTTGAATTTCATCTCTTTGCCTTAGACCACTTTTACTTTAGTAGTAAATTATTGAATTACTAAAATGTATTTGCGTTGTATTACAGGAGATGGGTCGGCACGATGACCTCTGGTCACTGCTGTACATGCTGGTCGAGTTTGTGAATGGTCAGCTGCCCTGGAGAAAGACTAAGGACAAAGAACAAGTGGGCAAAATGAAGGAAAAATGTGACAATGCTCTGTTAATGAAAAACTTGCCCAGCGAGTTTAGCAAGCTTTTAGAGCACATCTCGTCTTTAGATTACTATGACAAACCAGATTATGCAATGCTGCAGGGACTGTTTGCTGACTGCATGAAGAGGAAAGGGATAAAAGAGACAGACCCCTATGACTGGGAGAAAGCCCCTGCTGATGGCTCCATAACTACCACGACCACCACCACCCCACCGCTGGCCACAAAGGAGACAAAAGGATTAGCAGGGTAAGGAAAAGGGCATCAGTATTCTTAGCATTTATGTTTTAACCCACTGACTGTTAATGAAACCTGGTTGTTGAATGGTTTTTCTCTCATTGTCTACTGTTCTCTGCAAAGGGGTTTTTTGGATCAAAAGTTAAATGTTATACCCAGTTGTATATCCACTAGTTTTCATTAAATAATAAGTCCTCAAACAAAGGCATATGGCAGCAACTAGTTTTAAGGGCATAATATTATATGTCTGCAGACTTACTCAGTGCTTGACATGCTCAGTGTTTGTTTGAGACAAAGTCTGAGGCATTTAAAGGCAATTCATTGTTTACTTTTTAAATGTTTTTTGTTTTGTTTTTTTTTTTTTACATGAAAGTTCAGAAACCATGGAATTACATTTATGTTGCAACATTATTAGTTTAATTTCTCTATTAGCATTATGTAATGTTTTAAATTACACATCTCTGTCAATTTTTTTCTGTATGGCCCTTTTTGTTTAAAGCTGAGTAGCTTGTATGGCTTTTCTTTATGTTTATTTTAGGTTAATTCATGGTGCTCAATCTCCCGGCTCACCAGTCCATGCTGCTACTGATGTGGCCTTGGATGACAATTTCAGTGATCACGAAAACAGTGCGCGTAAACTCGAGAAAGAGCACAGTGTTCAGAACGGTTACGATGCAAACAAGCCGACAAGTGAAGGGGGCGAGGTGGCCGTGGATTCTAGAAACATTGCTCCCTGGAAATTAAAGCGGGATCATGAGCAAAAGTTCCCCAGTAAAGAGGAGGTGGAAGAGGCTTTGGCAGAGAAAGCTCTGATACTGCCCAGTCCCTCTCAGGGCAGTCCCAAGAGACTCTTGCCTAACAAACCTCAGTGTAATGGTGCTGAACCAGAGAAGACTGTCATTCCTCTGGTTGCCTTAGACACAAAACTAAGGACTATACTCAGAGTAGGGAGAGAGGAGTCTCCCTCAAAATCACAAGAAGTCGAGAAGCCTGCTCCCAGATGCTTGCCACAAATACCTAAAGTGCCAAATGATAGTGAAGTTGATAATGACATTGTTCTGCATAATGATATTGAGAATACTCTGGAGACTGGGGGTAGAGGAGAGGCTGATCATGCCGTGGAGACAAACAATATAAATGTGAAGACTATTTCAATGGGAAATCAAGACAAACTATTAGAAAGCCCTAATGAAATTCAAACCAAAAACAGACAGGAGATGGACCTTCTTTTAGTCTCCCAAAATAGCGGTGAGGCAGATTTGACAGCAAAACCAAATCCTATTAATATCTGTGATATAGAAGCTGACAAGAATGCTGAGAAAGTAGAGCTGCCTCTCGAGAGCCAATCAAAAACTAAGTTATTACTTAATGTAGTGCCACCACCTGCTGAAGAGCAGACAGGCGATGTCCGTGACAAAGACACTGCCGATGGCATTAATCCCATTCCAGAGCGCAGGCCGAGTCAAGTGCATTTTCAGACTGATGATCTCAAAGAGCCTGGTGAAAGGAGGACAAGTTTTGTCAACTTGGACACGGAGGACAGAAGCCAAACGAACTTTGGGGGAAACGCCGAAGATGAGAATGCCACTCGTGCTGCCCCCTATACTGTTGCCTCTCAATGGATAGTTTCCTTTCCTACCAGTTCTGAAGAAAGTGATGCAGCTGATGTTCACTGGGAAGTGGTGCAAAGTACCACACCACAACCCAAACCATTTACCCCGTTACCACAGGGGACAGCTGGTGATGTAATGGACAATATACCTAGAAAACATATCGAAGATGCTGGTTTACATGAAAAGAAAACAGAAGAAGTTCTGAAACCATCTGCAATTGAAGATAACCTTATTGATAAAGACAATAGTGCAGAGCATGGCATTGCAGACTTAGTGGTAGAGGAGGGAGAATATATCTATGTTGAGGACTTTGATGGTCTAATTGGTGAGAGCCAAAAAGACCAACAAAATGGAGAAAGGGAGCAAGATAATGGAAATGGTCACAAACAGACTGGGGAGTCTGAAAATACAAAATGCCCTGTAACTTTGACAAATCAAGTAACTGAAAAAATAGAGGTTGATTCTAAAATTGAAAATATTGAAAATCTCCATGAAATTAGTGATCATCCTGGAGAAAAAAGTGATGATTCCAAGAATCTGAAAAATTCTGAAAAGAGTCCAGTGGTGATTGAAATGAGCAATTCATCTCCACATATTTCTAAGATTCCAGTCAGCTCAAAGTCTCCTAAGCCTTTGTCTTTGTCCAATAAACTCTCCCCACCAGTGGTATCGAGGACCCCAGAACTGTTTTCTGAGGAACGCTCCTCCAGCGCTCCTCACTCTAGTGAGGATGCACTACCTGAAATGCATAATTCATCAAAACATTCTCACAAGTCGAGCACTGCAGGACAGAGCACACAAAACAGTGTAGGCAAAGGGTCTAAATCTAGAATTCCAGTGTTCAAGCATCATGACTCTGTCAGTTCACAGAAATGTAGTTTAGACAGTGAGGTTGAGAGTGAAAATGTACCCCCAACACCAGGCAGGAGGTCTGGGATTAGGTCTCCAGGCTTTGGCTCTTCTCCACGATCGGCCAAACCTCAGTCGGACAGAGTGGACAGTCTCAAGTCAGGCGAAATGACCAGGTCAGCCAGGAGGGCTCGAAAGTCTTCAGAGTCCTCTGAAGATGGCGGCAGGTTGCTAAGGACTGGGACACATAGGAAGAACAGTTCAGACTCACAGGATAGTAGGTCCTCAGGCTCAGGTGTAAAAAGAACGTCCCATTCTTCTGTGCCAAGTGAACACAGTAATTCACCCAACTCTTCCCCCAGAATAACAAAATCCCCCAGCGACAGACCGAATGGTCATTTAAAAGAAAAGAAAGGGGGTCATCCTCACCACAGTAAACTGAATGGTGTTGATGGCACGAAGAGACACAATGAAGAGTCTGATCACAGTAGTGTGTCATCTAGATCAAATTCCAGGAGGAAGAATGGTCACAGTCCTGTGGTCAGCTCCCCCTGCACCAGTCCACGTCCTGATTCTGACCATGGGCCTCTGTTAGTGCCACACCCTCCGCCTGGGAAACCTAAGACAGAGTCAGCTCTTACCTCTTTTAGGTGAGAGGAACCTGGCTTGTTTGCAGCTCTCTGTTGATTATTTTTCATTAAGAAGGCATACCTAGTTATTTGCATATCAAAAAAATTGTTTTAATTATATGTATATATATATTTCTAATGCTTTCTTATTTAGATATACGTATATATATATGTTAGTTTGGTCACTTTGTTTAAAGAAAATTTTGATTTAGTGCCTTTATTCCCAAGTGTGTTCATGTTTATATTGAGTTCCAACAGTAGGGTCTTTAAAATATTCTTATTATATTCACAGACGTCGGCGTTTCAAGCCAGCATCCACTTTTACCACACCAAGGTCAGGGAGATCCAGTGTAACCACTGTCAAGCCTTCAACAAGACCCACCACCAAACCTGCCACCAAATCTACCACCAAACCTGCCAAGCTTCAGTGATATTGTTTGCAGCTCTGTGTGCATTCTCTTACACTCTTTGGTTGCATTTCATGGATGTAGTTTTGTTGTCGCCAAGGTGCAGGAGGGTTGTCAAGTGGTGCCCCCTGGTGAAAAGGCAAGGCAAGGTGTGTTTTAGCTTTTTACCTTTGGTTCCTGTGGAACTGGTTATATGCAATTTTTTTTTTTTTT